CCGGTCAGGCCCTCGCCCCGGCTGTGAGTGTCGGTCGTTTCCTCCTTCGCTTGGCCGTGCTCTGCATCCCTTCCTTCTTCCGGCTTCACATTCGTCCTTTCCATTCCTTCCTTCTGGCCGCCGGTTCCTCTTTCCCCCCCCCCCCGCTGCCGGTTCCTCTTTTCCCCCCTCCCCCCCCGCCGGTTCCTCCTTTGGACGGAGTCAAAAGCCCCTTTGATCCAAAGGGAAAATGGCTTAAAATAGCCTCTTCCTGCTATAAAAATAGCGCTTCGGCCACTGGCCGGGGGAGCCTGGGACGAGACTGGGGGGAGGGGAAGGTGTTGGGGGTGGGGTTTGCATACGTGGGGGGCAGGAAACATGGCACAAATCCAGGGGGCGTCTAGGGGGGCAGAGCATGGCGGGGATGTAGATGGGGAGAGGGACAGGCAAAGGGGAGGGGAGGTGGGGCAGAGGGAGGCCTGGAGTGGGCGGGGGGCTGTGTATGGGGGGGCAGGCACAAGCTTGGGGGAGGGGAATATAAGGGGGGCAGGGAGCAGAGCACAGGGCTGGGGGGGGATCATGACCAGGTGCTTAAAATAGCCCCCCCCCATGTTACATTCCCTCTGGGATCCCTGCAAGGCCCTGACCCCGTGGAGGGGTGTATGTCCCGCGGCCCTGTTTCTGGCTGGGGGGGGTTTCCCCTCACCACTGTATTTTGATTTCATTGATTGGCTGAAAACCCGCCATCCGGGCAGAAAGCAAGAAACTGCCCGAGAGCGCCAGCCGGCCGTTCCGGGGTGTCTGGCGCGTCTCATCAGCTCGCGGGGGGGTTCGTGCCACGTAGCGCTGGGGTGATTAGTGCTCTGTGGTAACGAGGTGTCATGTGAGGGGTTATCCCCACCGATCCGCTCCAGAGTTAACACTTCCCACGGGCTGGTGTGGGGGGCATGGCCAGAACGGGCAATTAACCCCGCCTCCTCCCACGGGACTCAAAGCGGATTGGTCGGGTGGCTCCAGCCCCTCCCAGTGCTGGCCCTGAGGCCAGATCACTCAGCCGCCTCCAAGCAAAGGGGACGGGGGCCAGAGGAGCGGGAGTCTGGCCTGTGAATAATGCAGCCGGAGCCGCAGGGCTGAGACCGGCGCTGGAATGATCTGGGAACCGCAGGCCCCTGAGACCCACTCCCTGCTCCCGGCACAGGGTGCCAGTAACTAGACCCAC